ATCATCGCCATCATCATACTCGTCGTCTTATTGTGAAGAAAAGAATAAGGGTGGATGGGGGAGTGACTTAGTGCTAGCTGAACACAATCATTCCGAGGTGCCTACACCTCCAGACATTCACTCAGATTATCTGGATAGAAACTGACAACAAGACCGCCACTGACATCGGGTGGCAGCCATATCTTGCAGTGTCTCCAACCAGATACAGTGAGGATCACGCGGTCCCCATCCCGAAAGGCGAGTAGCACCGACAGCACCCAAGCGTTTCGTGATCTCCTTCATACTCCTCTGCCAAGTCAGGGGTTGGTCACCTCTCTGTTTATGCCACTCTGAGCTGGGCATGGAAAACAGCACTCTCTTCGAGAAACAATGGTTCGGCATACGCAACACATGTCCCAACCAACGTAGCTTCTGTGCTGGACAGATTCTTCAATGGAAGTACCCGTTCCACAACCGAAAACACGCTTTCGAACTGCCTCGTTACGGATTCGTCGACATCAACCCACACGAGCTGTGGTTCTGAGACAACGATTGTCGAACATCTGAAGACGTCTCAGTTCCGCTGCTCGAATAGTCTCACAGCTTTGCTATCCACAGGTTTCATTCAAAATGACGAAAGTATCATCTTCACATTGAATCCAAAGTCTGGATGGTTGGGGGAAGAACCGTTCTAGTTTTTTTTATTGGCCCCTTCGGCGATGCGTCACGATACTGACAGTACCACAAAAGTTTCTTTTTATTTCTTGGTATACTCAAAGTAGTTAGCACTACAAAGATCAGATTGACATATTTGGTGGGTTTGTCATTGATTAATATGGATGGTTTGTGTCGGTTCTAGAGATTGGAGGTTTTCATCTCCTCCATAATTTTTTCTAACCTGTTTGCTGGGGTTCCCGGTACTGTCGTGTGTACCTTGATAGGATTCTTCTGAATGCGCTTTCTTGGTCTGGAAAGAAACCAAGCTGTCCCGCAGCCCTTTTGTGAAGGGTAGCCGGCGGTGTTGCTAGTAGTTAGACAGCGGTACAGTGCACAAACAGCCCGAGTTCAACGTTCGGTCTATTATCCACTGTCATTAAATCCAGTCTTTCAGAAGTAATTGAGTTGGTCCGTCATGGTCCTCAGTTATCTGTGTTGATACTGAAGAATTCAACCTTGAAATCGCGTAGAAGCATCGTCGAATGTATATCAGTCCAGAGCGCAGTTTGAAATGTTTTTTTTGGTAAAGCCCTTGCATTGTTTGACATACTGCTGGAAATTACGTGAGAATTGCACACCCCTATGAACCACTAAGCCCGGACGTTCAACTTAACGGGATACACACCAGTGCGCACGCGTAAAAAATTCAGTTTCACACCCTGTAACAGTTGCAGCAATCTGTCCCTAAATGGAATTCCGTGAAATCCACTCATCCCCTGCGACTGTTCAGGAGTAGAGGTTTTCGTGATGTTGATTACAAAGCTGGACTCCTAGGATGGATCGACTCAGCACCCACGTCATTCGATGTATTTGCTTGAACTGCAAACTTCATCACCCTATGGGAGAGCGTGGAGTAGGTTGGGCGCACGTCCCACATGCGATTGGCTACCTGAACTGACTTTCTATGCCATTGGTGCGCTATGACAAATGACCGACGGACCGACGAGGGTTTCAGCCAATCAGAAACATGCAGCGTTAGACGTTCACTTAAGGCACGCGGATGCGAACTGATCGACTGACATTCGACCAGACGTGAACGATGGCACTGAACGTCTCGGCTGTCGCTGTCCCACCAAACACGAGTGGTATTTTGTCTCCACCTTCCAACTTGCAGTATATGTCCCCCACATCAATAAAGCCGTTGCCGCTTCCAGTAAACTTATCAGCTGATACGGACGGCGGCGTCAAGTATAACGACTACTCTGTTGCTCAGGTATTTTTTCAAACGCTTCACTACACGATGGGCCGATCGTCTGGTTACACCAATTTTCAGGACTTAACCGGACTGGCAGAACTGTATCAAGCCTATATGTGCCAAATGTGTCCACGTTCGGATGCTCCATCGTCTGAGAAGAATGGAACTGACCCATCAACTTTATTGCGGCCCAACTTAGTAACCACTCAGGGCATTTCAGATACACACACCAGCCTCACTGCTCCCGTGACACTGGTTCCTTCCATTCCGTTTGGATCACCTTTTTTTCCGCATACAGCACACACCGGGCCGGTTGTGGACAATTTCCTCACACCCTACTTCCCCCAGTCTGTCACCGCTCCATCGACAACCGTGAAAACCAGTGAATACGAAAACTGTACAGCCACGGATAGCCATACGGGAAAATTCCCCGAACCGATCTGGACAGGACTTGAATACTATTCTTCAACTCCACCGACTCCATCTATGTCTTCCAGTTCTCCTGTTGGACACAACGCTTCGGGCAACACGTATCCGGTGACAAAGCCACCCTACTCGTACATTGCGCTAATCGCCATGGCAATCAAGTACGCTCCCGGAAGGAAGATCACACTCAATGGTAAGTAGTCTACGTTGTAATTCAGATATTCCTAAACGACTCATGACGCTTATGGTCTCACGAGAATATAGCTCCTGTAGCTTTGCGCATCGTTTGTTACCACAGCCTCTGGTGGCCGCCCAGGTTATCCGAACCGCAATCTCATACTGACCTTCGGTTTCCTGTAGTTTAACCCAGGAAAAGTGCTATCGTGCAACCTATCATGCAACCAGGTCAGACCTTCTTAGTCGAAGAGTCACGGCTCACTACACTGATGTAACTTCATTGTCCCCCTCCACCAAACTAGTGTGACTGGACGTTCGAGCAACAGCGAATGGATAAGTGGTATGGTCGTTAACTAACGTCCCCAGTCACAAAATACAGCAAAATCTGAAGGTAGTGGTATGAAACCTTCGAACTGCAGACTATTAAACTTATACGGATAACTTCTTTTGCTTGTTTGCATTGGACCCTCTCCCACTACTCACAGGCTTGTGGGATAGTCGCAGAGATGGTTAGAGTGCGAATTTACTGACCGGAAGGTCCGAACCAGGCCTCTGAGTTTCGGCTTGCCCTGTCTAGGCCTGGGCAGCATGGTCGTATCCTCCCCCCCCCTCGTGCTTCCTGCTGGTGGCATGACAGCCAAGCACCGAAAGGTTGTTGCAGCTGAACAATATTTATTACTCATTTTAGACCGATCATTCACGTGATTGAAGGATCAACCTCGTTGACTGTCTACGCTTATGAACTATCGTGATGAATTAAAATCGGGTGCTCTAATTTATTCACCTAATGAGGCCTTGCAAGACTCGAACGTGCCGGCAACTGGCAGTCAATCAACCACATTCTTTTGATGTTTACAAACAGTATCAATGCAACACTAATCGTTGCTTTTGTCCGAGACATGTGTGACAGCTGGCCTTAATGAGATTCTTTCTTAGCTTGCCAGATCACTGGAAATCCTAGTTTGCAACTAAAAACACATGAGCTCATTAGCATTGTTATGACAGCTGAATTTGAATCACAGACAGTTTTGTTGGCACGAACCGTGATGATCCGGGACACGATTAACTGGCTAATGCATGCTACTTGTGTGATACTGCGGGCGAGTCTTACTACCGACATCTTCGGTTCCACGAGGTTCATGAGTTATAATAATCAATCTACTGATAATATAGCTGGAACACCTGTTTGGCCATCCGAAGGAAACATGCGGTTGCTCAAGTCTAAACAGAGGCAGTCGAGACGCAGAGCTTGGGTTCGAATCCCGGATCTTCCGATTAGCCACTGAGTTATCTTAAGCTCTACTTCGCTTTGCGTCTGTTGGACGATACACCATGGCGCGTTCACGAAAGTTGGGTTGGTTTATCATCGATGGCTTGAGCAGTGGTTCGCGCGCCGGTCGGCCTTCCGCTCCATCCTCACTGGAAAGGCTTGGCCAGGTAAAAAAGGAACAATAACTACCAAAGATGTGTCTGTGAAACCCAACTGAACAACTCACTGGTTAATATAACGCTTTTTGGTTAAAATGCTAGCTAACCGACCGGAAGGTTCGTGACTTGAACCGAACCTCAGCATCTCTCCTACTCCTGTCTTGACTTGGGCAACCTGGCAGTATCCCATTCCTCGTGGCTCCTGGTGGCATGGCAGCTAGGCACAGAAAGGTTGTTACCGTTGAACGATTCTTTAAAGATTGTTAACTATAACCATGGTAGGAAAAACACCAGGCTTCTGATTGTCGTGGTGTATAAATCCTGTTACAGTGCTGCCTAACGGGTAGTGCTTTTTTCATAAGCGAGAAGGGACAAACTCGTGACCTAAATCTGCTAAAATTCCTGTCTTCATCTTTTACCCCTTGTCATCCAAAAGGCCGTCTTCTTGGTAATCTCTAAGTTTCCGCCTCACCGTTTTTACTCACTTCGCCATGTGACTCGTTTACCATAATTGGAATACATCTGTTGCTGACGAGTCGGAAACCCCCTTTGTCTGGAGCAGCAACAGTCTGTCTCCCTGTCCGGGAGTTCTAGGTAGCAATTCTAGATGGTGCGAGATGCTTTTTTACCTTTGTTCTGAGAAGAACAGTTCGATAACTGGTTTATCCTAAGAGACTAGTGTTCAGCAAGCAGGAGCGTCGAAGCTGGCCTGCAGTTTCAGTTTTAAAAGGGATGGACTGTGGTTTTAACCGGTTCTTTCACCTGCTTGTACCGGATATGATCGCAGGTGATGTGAAGAATCTTCAGGTTGTGACCACTGATGCTTCGGCTACCCACCACGCGTGCAGAAAGACCGTCTACCGAGACAGGTGCTTCCCTCAGGTTGGCAAAACTGTAGGGTGAACAAGCAATGACTTGGTAGAAAGGTGTGAAGATGACCAAGAGTTTGGGTGCTGTTATACTGCCATGGATCATCCATGATAGGGTCTCCTTGACCCTCTGCTCTTGCCTGCAGACATTACAAGAAATGGCGACCGATCGAAATCACTGGCGTTCTTTTCTTTCCAGATTGTCTGATTGAGGGTTGGACGTATTAGGCACCTCAGAATGCTTATGATAAGTGAGCACCAGACTGCTCCCTTACCCGCCATTTTCTCTTATCCTCGCTCTAAGTCTTTGTGTGATTGACTAAGCTTTGTGATTGTACGGCCTTGAAGCATCAGTGTCAACACGGATATTGCTGTCTCTGATTGGGATCCAGCACTTCTGTACCGGTCGGTTTTCTCTAAAACCACACTTGTTGAGTTACAGATAGCACAGTGGTTAAAACGCGGGAACGTTCGTAGTTCGAACCCAACTCCGGTCACTTACCTACTCGTGTCTGGTCTCGGACCACCGGGTGGCATCCCAGCCTTCTTGCTTCTTTCGAGTGGCATGGCTGCTCGACACCGGAAGGGCATTACAGTTGTGGTTTTACACACATCGGCCCTGATCTGATTTGTCGTCATCACTGTCACCACTCGAGAGCGGTTTTAACACCATCCACTAGCGGCGTCCTGTCACAGCGGCAAGTTGCAACGCAGAATCGGCAGAAGTATTCCTCCCATCGTCAGCAGGGTCATACCAGCCTGCTTCGCCCGCGTTTTTGACTGTGCCACAGCACACCGTCCTTACACCGTTGCCCTTCACCCCACTCAAACCTCTTTCGTTACATAGTTTAGTGTACATCGCCTTGCCACTAGTTGTTCGGTTCTTTTGTCGATTGTGTTAGCTAATTTCACCCGCCACAACCACCTGATAACCCGAGCACCGCTTCACACCCACCTCGTATCGGGATATGTAACTGACTGTTTCTGGATTTTCGAAACATCGAGTGTTCACCTGAATCAGCGAGTGCACTTGCGCTCTCGTTCCGTACTCGTTGGAGCACGTGGCTTCGCAGCGGTCACACCGGTGTCTTATGTAGGCTAAATAACAATTCAACGCGGTCTTCCGACGCCGGAAGCATTGTGAATTCACATTCGTTTTGGCCTATTCATAGAAGCACTTGGGTTTTGGAAACGGTGGTTGAAATACAATGCTGGGCTAATCTGGTTCTCAGGGCTCATGAAATTTGAAAAGTGGGAACTGATCACCATCATGGTAGAATTAAAATCGAAAAGACCGATGTCTAGCACAGATGTCAACATCAAACGTGGCGAGCGAAAGAACGCGTATACAGCCTCGGAATTTTAATCCCGGTGGCTGTTTGAAATAGACAGAACAGGGTAGCTTTTGAGAAACGGCCTTCCGCATCAGAAGAGTTGGGTAGCCCACCATCAGTTGGTTGAGTTAAGGCGGCCGGTTCCCGAATTTCCCCCATAGAACTTCTATAAAACGAGACTACTGAGACTTGAGCTTCTCACGCGGTACTATCCAGTTTAACCAGTTGCACGTGCCGGACAACACACGTTTGTTTCCTGAATGGGGTAGCTGCTTCACCGGCAGCCCACTGAAGAGTTTCTATGGTCGACAGGTGCCTCATAGCGATGGAGGTTCGGTAGAATGGAGAGCAACAGATTTTCAGGTCTCAGTCTCCATTATAACTAATGTCTGTACAACTGGCATACCTGAGACGCTTTTGAGACATGGCGTTTTTGACAAATGTCTCGAGAAAATCCCTGAAGTAACAAGTAAAAATCGCTAGGGTCCCTCGAAGTTAATTCAGTGTCCTGAGATGTTTCCACTAGAGCCTAAACATACCCTGTGTCATCGTAACTTAGCAAGGGTTCCAACGAAGACATCCTAAGAATTGCACTGGAAAGTTTTATGCAGTTTTAGTCGCATCGTTTGGTAAAATCGTATCTTGAACTTGTATGTTACACAACGTTCTCCAAAATTAGTGGCAATTTAGACCAAACTATCCAGTAGCTCGAATCCGAAAGTCGATTGATTCTTCTGGCACCATTTTACTGAATAAAGGCGAGCCTGCCATGAATGAAATCAACAAGTAACTTGAGTAACGTCAAAACCAGTGGTCCCCCTATCCGGGAGCTGAAAAGACCGCTAGATCTGAGTAAATCCTCGATCCCATCTTTGCAAACAGTTGATTCTATCTTTCCCACTGCTCCTCAGATCTGTTGACCAAGCTATCGATCGAACTGCCTTGTCAACTATTGTCTATTTGTCTATTTGAAGCATACCCTAGGTGGTTCTTGTCCAACGACCCGACTGTGTAAACAACAACAAAATGCCCTCTGCTTGGTTTTCTGAAGGAGGTGAAGCAAAGCGGACGCATAATTTTTTACTAAAAAAAATAAACGTTCTCCGATCAGCTCCAAGTTGGTGGAGCCGTATATTTTTAGCTTGTTGAATAGTCGTTTCGCAACCTTTCAATCGAACGTTCAATTGGCGTTGTGTGCGTTCGCTGCACAACGCAACAATTCAGGGTACCCAAAAACAATAGAGAAACAGTTATTGGTGCTCATTGTTTATTCATGAGTTGACATTGTGAACTGAGTATGATGACTTTAATAGTTGGTCGGTCTTGGCAAAGAATGGAGGCAACATTGGGAGAGGCAGAAAGATCCTGTCCTAGCACACATCCGTTGCTGACCCGTATCGATTTTATCGATTGGGTGAGTCCAGAGCCTAAATGGCATCATTTTTGTTGATAGCGCCTACCACCACCCCATCATACTCATTCTACGATAGTTTACAAATATGTGTGTTATGTGTTTTGATGAGCTGCACAGCTATGCCACACACACACACACACGCGCGCGCGCAGGTACACAAACCATGAGTGTTTATGCCCGCCTAGTCCTCTCGGTCTTCCGTGGCGGCTGACTGGGTGAATGAGCTCTTGCGTTTGTGTAAACAGAGGCGCGCACGTTTTGTTCAATGTGTATAATACAGTGGACGAGTAGTAGTAGTGTTATGATGCGGTCGGTATGTAAGGAAGGAACGAAGGTGGGTAGACAGCAGGTAGACAGCTGAACCTTCGATCTAACAAACAACAAGTATCAACACTTGATGGGTGCGGTGATGTGTCTGTGTTGGTCGGTCGGTCGGTCGGTTGGCGGGTTGGTTGCGAGCCTGTCTGCCGCTTGTGTACACTATGCATTTTTTATCACGTTCGGGTCGCTTTTGTTTACATTTCATGGCGTGCTCACAACCCGCCCACCAATGTTGCCGTCACTAACACACCACGCCACACTACACCGCATCATCATCATCATCGTGATCACCATCACCATCATCATCACCACTGGTGTGTTCCACTGCTGGTAAACAAAACTTGGCGCTGTGTGTTGTTCTTCAGCTCCCACGGACGACAGCATTGTCTTTGACCATTACCGGTCTCTCTCAATGTGTTCCGACCAGCCGACCGCAAAGGCAGGTGCGTGAGGATGAGTGTGCAGGCGAGCGCTGACCAAGAGGGCTGACAATACCCGCACAAAGACCAGATAGATTATACATCCAAACGCCCGTGTGTGTGTGTGTGTGTGTGTGTGTGTGTGACAGACGGCGAGGCATGTTTGTACATGTTGTTTTGTTTGCTGACTTGCTGAATTTGACGTATTTTTTCAGCTAACTGGTTTATTTATACGCTTGTTTTTTGTTTGTTGTTTGTGCGCCTAGTTAGTTTGCTTGTTGTTGCCTTTTATGCCTGCTTGACGATATGCCTTGTTTACTCAAGACCCTCTCTCGTTCACTCGCTCTGTTTGTTTGTTTGCTGTGTACATCGTGGCTGTCCAGCTTGTTGGTTGCGATGACGCTTGTCTGAACTAACCTCTCTCTCTCTGATAAGACAAGAAAATGTCTGGAAAATAAAACAAGAAAAATATTTTACCACAGGTGTTCAATGACAGTTGTAGAATGTGACAAGGTAGATAATGATAGCATGAAATTTGAACTTTTACTGGACTAGCTAGACAATGTGTCTGATATTTTAATCCCTGTCCAGTCTGATTTGTTCTTTCGACGTGAAAAAGGCAACCGTGAAATCAGGGTTGGGACGGAACCTCATGTCAAGTTTTGGAATTTTGAGCACAGGCTACGCTGGAACACAATGAAAACGTTTGGTAGCCTCACTGTGTTGTTCTGACTGTTTGGACGAGTGACTGCTGATCCAACCAAGGAGTTTCAACGGGTCGGACGGTAGTACCAGAGTGAGTTGATTATCACTCATTCAGTGGAGGACAGCCTTCCGATATCCGAGCTTTTAATGAAGTGATAGTTACACAGGAGTTTAAATTACATCACTGTTTGTCGGGGATGCTTTGTTAGGGATGCTTTCTTGATTAAATCAGAGCGGAACTCGCTACTCTGGTAATGCACCAGTCGTGACAACTCGTTGGCTGCCTCAAGCAGCTCTGATTTCGGGGGCGAGATGGACCGAGTGGTTAGAGCGCGAATTTACTGACCGGAAGGTCCGTGGTTCCAAACCGACCTCCACCTCTCGACTTCCCCTGTCTAGGTTTGGGCAACCTGGCAGTATCCCAGCGCTCGTGTCTCATTCGTGTGTCATGGCAGCTAGGCACCGAAAGGGTGCTACAGCTCGACGATTCCGTAGTATGCAAGCATGACTAGCCAAAGCTTCATCTGCAGAATTCTGAACCCTCTGTTATATCACGTGACCTTGAAGCAGATCACACTTTGAATTTTGCCCTGGTATTATTGACAGCAGTGATATTCATTCGTTGAGGTACTGTATGATACCGAACGAAATCGGCCATTAAAGCAACCCAATTAAATAATGTCGTATTCACCGAAGCTAAGCATCAATTCCAAGGGAACCCAGTACGTGTAAACACTGGTCAGTCAACGTTCTAAATGACTGAAGGATTAGATGAATCGATATCAGGCCAGCGACCAAGCATCACATCTGAAAGAATGCTGCTGTCAGTTTCTACCAACTTTGGTGGTGGAGTTCCCAACCCCCCTTTGTCTCTTTTCTCTGGTCTTACTCAATGACCATTGGAGCATCCACTGATTTTTTGCCTCAGACGACCAGCTGTGTGTCCACCGGAATACCTGAACACAGAGTAAGCCACAAAATGACCGGACTTTCCGGCAATCACGTGACCGATATGTATTCAGGCAAATACGCGGGTGATTCTGGAGTGTGGAACGCAGTCTGCCTAACAACTTCACCGATGGTATTTTGCGTGAGCTTTCCCCACTGAGATTTAGAAAACATACGCAATGGGATAAAGGAAAGGAACCTTGTAGAAAGTCGGTTTGCCTAACCAACCTACGAAAAGGGGACACTGACTGTGGATATCATTTTTTCTATCGGATTCTCCTCGTTTCGACTACCGAAATTCAACTTGAATCCGAATAAGAAGCTGGATGATAGTAGTCTCGCGGTTTTCGGGACGGTGTTACGGCTGGTACAAGTAAATTCAGTTCACATTCGGTTCTGTCTAGCTAGGAGTATTATGAAGTTTTCTGTGGAGATTTCGTCCTGTAAGTGAAGCCAATCTATACTGAAAAGCCAAAAAGCCGAGAAGCACTGTACAGCTGTTTCATCCTTATTGGGAATCATCAGAAGTGCTCATCTCACGAAACTCCTCAGAGTCTCGAACCCGCGACCTCCCGGCTAGTAGTTTGAACACTTAACCGTTCGGCCACGAGTGGCTGATCAGCAGTGTGATTAACTCGCACTTAGACAGGGTATAGCGCCGCTCATCCTTCAATCACAGGATCCACATCACGTGGTCACACGTGTTGACTGGCTCCTCGAGCAACGGCTTCTCAGATGGAAGCTTCACTCATCGAGTGGAGTTTATTCTTCCACTGAGGACAGTTCCATGTCCGATTTCTGTCTGGGGATCCTGAACTAGCTGAGCTCGTCTCAAAAATTGAATGTTGGACGCAGGACAACACTGATTTTTGAGTCAGTCAAACAAGTAGTCATTCCGTTAATAGTCTAGTAAAACATGTGATACCTGGATCATTGGTTGATGGTTCACATCCATGTCTGGCTGATTGCTCGGCCACAGGGAGTAAATTCACCACATTTCCGAACCGATTACCTCTTGTAGTATATCCGATAGTACATTGTTCAGCTGTAGCACCCTTTCGGTGCTTAACTGCCATGGCACCCGAAGGAAGCCCGAGGACTGGGATACTGTCAGGTCGCCCAAGCCTAGACAGAGGAAGTCAAGAGGCAGAGGTCGGGTTCGAACCACGGACATTCTGGTCAGTAAATTCGCGCTCTAACCACTTGGACCATCTCGCCCCTCGATAGCACATGAAAGAACACCTGTAAATTTGGGGTAGTGAATTTTGTGGTTTGGATTGTTTCGGACGGGTCGGTCGTTTCAAGCGCATCCAGTGACAGCCACCGTATTCACACAGGCGATCCAAGATGTTCCTCACTTTTACCACTCTATTCGCTCCCAGCAACAAAGCGGAATGTAGCTGTTCATGATTGTACTGAGGACAACTTCCGTCTAAACGTCCCCCGGTTATTGTTCCACGCCTACTTGTTTACGCTGTTTTGTCTCCATCTTGTCGTTAGGCCCCAAGTTTGTGTCAGTAGTGGCAATTCTTCCCCCATTTAACTAAGGTACCAGCCCCACCGAAGAATCTATGCCGCCTAGATTGTACCTCGAAATGCGCGTTTTGGGCGCAGGTTGAATCATTCCTCAGTTATATCAAAGCGTTGCATGCTCTTTTGCTATACAGTTTGACTTGAGTTCACTGGCTGAGGAATAAAAATCCTCGCTACCCCATTATTTCAAATGCACTTTGTTTAGTTAACGTACTAGCTGATCGATTTTCGTTGACCACATACAACTGACAAAACAAACTGGTTGAACCGATTCGTTTGCTTTTCTTTTTGTTGGCCGCAATGATTTTGGCCCGTCTCTTCAATCAATATACGCCAAAATCAATCATCCTCGCTAGCAGTCTTTCCTGATAATCGAATGGGTGAGTATTACTCATCTTCACGACTGGCAAGACTTTGACAGTTTATGTGAACTGCTCAACTTCGTTCGTCTTTCTGTCAAGCACTTCGAAGCATACATTTATCGACTTTGTTGCCAGCTAAGAGATTTGAATTTCCGTTACTACTTTCGTCTCCCTAACTGATCGATACCACTTACTGCCTGTGAACTGACGTGCTCATTTTAAATTTCTTGTACTTTCAGGTATCTATCGATTTATCATGGAGAATTTCCCATATTATCGTGATAACCGACAGGGCTGGCAAAATTCAATTCGACACAACCTTAGCCTCAACGACTGTTTTGTCAAACTCCCAAGAGACAAGAGTCGCCCGGGCAAGGGTAACTACTGGACCCTGTCAACAAATGCTGACGAGATGTTTGAACACGGAAACTACAGGTGAATATGCATTTTTTTTTAAATCTTCGTAACTATCTAACGGGAAGCAACCATGTTATCAGAGAGGCAACCGTCGACTCACGAACCGCATGTATGATGTGTTTTTCAGTTAGCAACGCGGTATACTTCTCCTTTGAGCGCTAACCCCCCGCCACAATTACTTACCTATGAAGGCTCGAGAAGGTTCATTGGTTAAGGCACAAACTTATTGACTGGAAGGTGCATGGTTCTCGACTGCTCGCGTTTCAAATTTAGGAAACCTGACAGTGTCAGGTTCTTCCTTCGGGTGGGTTGGAGCTTGGAACCGCGTTTCAAATTTAGGAAACCTGACAGTGTCAGGTGCTTCCTTCGGGTGGCGTGGCAGCTGGGCACCGAAAGGGTGTCACAGCCGAGTAACTATTATCGTTATTCCTATTGTTCTTATTGTTAGTGGCGGACAGAATATGAAATGGCAGAAGGGAATGATGTAAGGAAAAGTTTGACCATTGTCCATGATGGGGTATAGGTGACCCTCACCCTTGAGCTTGACTGGAGACACCGAACAACGCGGTGGCGTCCAGGTGGTTAGTTACCATCCAGACCGAGGTTGGGAGCTGAAAGCCCAGCCCCAGGCCCCCATCTCGGCTCAACTTGTCTTCTTTCTCATTGTAAAGCTTCGAATAAATCGATAATGTTGTACGCTAGTGAAGCAACACTGTACTGTCAGTGATCATGATGGTAAGAACACCACTCGCACTCTAGCTCTGCCAGAAAACAGTTACTCGGAAGAACTACATTTCCTTTGAGTTACACTGAAAACCTGGGGCACCGGAGTGTTCTCCGAACTAGACATCCGTTGAAGGCGACTGGTGGCAAAGAGACAGGCTCCACGTACAAATTTCAAAACCGTATGTGTTATTATGCTCACGAATGCACCACAAAGCAGGTAGACTCACAAGTGCCTCTTGGTTCTAACCGATTGACCAACTTGAGCACTATGGAACCGATTAGCATTTCTGCATCCATGTGATGCTACTCACCAAACAGTCGATAATGCTAAACACCGTTTGTGTACGATGTTTTATAATAGAAGAAAAAGTGTGGGTGTGGGCGAGATGCACTATAGATTGAATCAAAACATTTCGGTCGCATAAACACGCGACAATTGACCGTTTTTTTCTTTCTACCGATGTGCATCCACCTCATATGTTGTTAAGTTTCGGCTACTGACTGATGAAATTTGGAAACGATGGGCTGCTTTATTTAACAGAATCCGTCAATGAGACTGATGTGTTAGCCAATCACGTGTTTTGGGCAGACCGGATCATGCTTCCTTTATTCTGCCGTTGTCTTTTCGATTATCCATTTTCGGCAACTTTATTATCATTATCAACTTTAAGAACCGCGTACTTGTCGTACAGTGGTTGTAGCTGCCACAGCTCTCCGTCCACCCATGTTTTGGGGAGGTGGGGTAGATAGCTGCGCATTGGAGGCGGGAGCTCATAGATTGGTGCTCAAATACAGCACTGCCAATTGGGGAGATTGAGAAGGGAGCTATGCACTGAAGGCAATAGCTTGGATGCATGAACGCCATTGCGGTCGCGACTGGGTCATGTCTGACAATGTCTGTAGTCTTTGATGTGGCCCGTCTCGGAGTCCCTATCCAGGGAGACGGCAGTGACCAGCGCGGCTGAGTTTGCTGGTACCGACTTTTATCCTGGGACCAGCGTAACCTCTTGTACGTAGCATTTGATTTGACCTACAGATGCATGGCAATGGTATATGCTTGGAAGTTAGTTGACTAATGAGGACTTGGAGGCGTCGGGAGGGAGCGGCAAGTTCCATGGCATTGGTATACAAAATCGGATTTATGACAGCACGACCAAATTCACTGCACTTTGCTTTTCAATCATACGGTTGCAGTCTTGCGTAGAATCCACTACGCATTAGGAGTGACTTCGTAACTTGTATGCTGAAGCGGTCTATATCTTTTGGCGGCAGGCGCTCTCGTGGTTCAGACTACTACCCGAGCTTGCTTGACTCTGATCTGATTAGTGCAACACATTCCCAAATCACCCTAAGCTTAGCTGCACCTGACTGGTAATCATGCGAGTTAGTCTGTCCTTGCTACCCCCCCCTCATGCTCTTGACTTATAGACGTCGAAAACGCCGAACCAAAGCCAACCTTTCTCAAATCTCCATGACAACCACCAGGAGTAAACCGGGCCTTCCTGACCCGAGAAAACACAGAAGTAGCGAAAGCCCGCTGAAAAGAGCGAAACTCGAGGACAGAAATGAAGGTCTCATCCGTTCCAACCCAACAGTCTTCCCACCACTACCTTATTCAGACACCATGCGGTTAGCACATCGCGTGACTTTGAGTCCACCATTCCAAGGATGTATGCTCACCTGTTCAATGACCGAGCACTCGGCACACAGCATTCCATCCCAACACAGCATAGTTGGCCTGGATAATTCCAGTCCCCAGCTGGAAGAGCTACCGCTAGAGTTGACAAGGTCCAGCCAGACTATCCACCAGTCCAGACCCTCAACAAAGCCTTCCAGCCTCAAGAGTCATTCGGGATTCAACATTGAAGATCTGATTGGATCACCCAAACCGTGAATATTTGGACACTGTTGGATCTCAACACAAAGGAACTGTGATCTGTACTATAAACCAACCCTCCCCCCACGTCCCTGCAGTTTATTGGTCTTTCTGGCAATCTGCCTCACCCACCCGTCCTGTTTTTCCTAGCTGTACCAACAGAATTTCCCACATGTTTTTTGGCTCCTTTTGAACAGACTTGTGACTCTCAGCAAAAAAGAGGTGAAATGTTTACACTATAAAACAAGTATAAAAAACGATCAAGTCCAACGCCACAGTGTATGTTTTTCACTATACCGATCTATTGTAACTCGTCCGCCTTTCGACAACCGTGACAGCATTGTGTGACTACGTTCCCCCGGGTACCGTGCATCTTCAGGTCCAATTGAGGATGAGATATACGCCTTCTCCCGGTTGGAGTACGTGAAAGGCTGTGGGTTGCTGCGGGATTTGCAGTATTCGCCTGTAGGTGGTCGCCTGTAGTAACAGGTTGGGGCCGAGAACGCGAATTTAATGACCGGAAAGTCCGTGGTTCGAACCCGACCTCTGCCTGTCGACTTCTAGGTTGGGCAACCCGACCTGTTCAATGACCGAGCACTCGGCACACAGCATTCCATCCCAACACAGCATAGTTGGCCTGGATAATTCCAGTCCCCAGCTGGAAGAGCTACCGCTAGAGTTGACAAGGTCCAGCCAGACTATCCACCAGTCCAGACCCTCAACAAAGCCTTCCAGCCTCAAGAGTCATTCGGGATTCAACATTGAAGATCTGATTGGATCACCCAAACCGTGAATATTTGGACACTGTTGGATCTCAACACAAAGGAACTGTGATCTGTACTATAAACCAACCCTCCCCCCACGTCCCTGCAGTTTATTGGTCTTTCTGGCAATCTGCCTCACCCACCCGTCCTGTTTTTCCTAGCTGTACCAACAGAATTTCCCACATGTTTTTGGCTCCTTTTGAACAGACTTGTGACTCTCAGCAAAAAAGAGGTGAAATGTTTACACTATAAAACAAGTATAAAAAACAATCAAGTCCAACGCCACAGTGTATGTTTTTCACTATACCGATCTATTGTAACTCGTCCGCCTTTCGACAACCGTGACAGCATTGTGTGACTACGTTCCCCCGGGTACCGTGCATCTTCAGGTCCAATTGAGGATGAGATATACGCCTTCTCCCGGTTGGAGTACGTGAAAGGCTGTGGGTTGCTGCGGGATTTGCAGTATTCGCCTGTAGGTGGTCGCCTGTAGTAACAGGTTGGGGCCGAGAACGCGAATTTAATGACCGGAAAGTCCGTGGTTCGAACCCGACCTCTGCCTGTCGACTTCTAGGCTTGGGCAACCCGACAGTATCCCAGCCCTCGTGCTTCCTTCTGGTGGCGTGGTAGCTAGGCACCGGAAGGGTGCTACAGCTGAACGATTTTTTTGATTAGTACACACATGAAGAGATGCTGCTTGGGGTTTTCTTTAATCCGAGTTAATGAAGCGACCATAGAACGGAGATGAGTTTCACCTACAATCGTTGCCCTTGAGTTTTGACTTGACCCTACCCTACTAGAGTCTCCGGAGAGCCGAAAAAACCTTCAAGATGGGGTAATACGCTAACGCAACCACTCGGAAAGCTTAGTTTTCACGGGAGACTCATCTGAATCCTGTAATACTCGTTTGTGGTGTTTTTCAACTGAATGCGGAGCGCAAAAACGGTTTCATGGCTCAGTTATTATGATATTCAAAGGTTTCTCAAAACGCTTCAGCACAATCAGTCTCTCCATCAGACAGGGTTTTCGCCAAATTTAGGGTCCAGTTGAACCCCGATTGAACATCACAAACAAGAGATTCCGTTCCGCTACACATGAGTCTCCCGTGAAAACCAAACTGGTATGCAGATGAGCGTACTTGTTGAATTGCAGTGCAGTTTGGGTTCGAGTAGTCAAAAGGCTGATGGAAATTCGGGGACCGCGGCCACCTGTGATGTCGAAGAGATTATGACAACCTTTTGAGTAGTGTGTAACGTCTATACACTTACAAGACAGTTTTCACAGCATCCGCTATGCGGTTGTTAGCCACCCGTAGTTTACAACAACATCCAATAGAGTTCCCGTCCTGCTAGGTTTCCACAGGATACGTACAGTCGGATATTCTGACCTGACATTTTTTTTCTGACACGGCCCTAACCAAAGCTTCTAAGCGGTTACGAACTGTGCCGCCGTACTGGAGGGCGTTACGTGAAGTTGCCAACACACGATTTCCGCCCAAATATCCCAACGGGGTTGTCAACTTCTGTCAGTAAGTAAGAAGTGTCGCACAGAGTGTCCTAACGTTACGCTGAGTTTTGTGATTTCTGTCTAAAAATCTCAAGAATTTATTCGAAACATTTTTCGCTAAAATCCCGGATCAGCATTCAAGGGTAAGCGATGAATCTAGGACGAATAACTTGACTGGATAGGTATTTTTAGTCCCCTGCAGGATACCCAATATGTGCGAGTCTGGAGTGCAACGTTCTCTGCGGGTGGAGGAATCACTCTATTGATGAGAAGCACCAAGTCAGGTAAATTTCACAAAACACTGGTGATCATAGTTGAGCAATTGGGATACAAGAGACACGACACGGGGTCAATTGAGTTCATGGTACTTTAAAGACGCAAAGTGCACCCGAGTGTAAGTGGATAGAGATAAAAACGACAAAGCCTGACATTTGTAAGCATAAGGTTTTCGCCCATCGTTTTGTTTCAGCAGAACTGACCAAGTTACCCCCTCTGTATCCAGCTTGCGTAATCCAAGTGGTTAGAGCTGGAATTTACTGACCTTAAGGTCCGTGGTTCCAAACCGACCTCTGCCACTCGACTTCCCCTGTCTAGGCTTGGGTAACCTGGCAGCATCCCAGCCCTCGTTCCTCTTTCGTGTGGCATGGAAGCTAGGCACCGAAAGGGTGCTACAGCTGGACGATATAATCCAGAGCAACTTGGCCACCTACCCTTGGATTGACATGTTTAATTCAATTCCGAACATATCATACTACTCACAAGGTTCGTGAAAACACTAGATTCGGCTAGATTCAGTTGAACCTTTCGTCAGAACCAACTAAGTGTGCAAACAAGAGTAGCTGACCACTGTCCAAGTGTCTCCAAACTTCCCTGTAACGTGGCCAATCAGTTCAAAGTACATCGCTTTGTTCACATCGTCCCAAATGCAAAAAATAAGCCAACTGTTGGAGAAATCGCTGATTTGAAAATTTTCTAGTTATTGAACCCGCGTGGCTCAAATCGAACCCAGCTGAATATCGCTCACTGAAAATGAATATGCTGCACAAAGGCCTACTCGTATTTTATTTAGGTCGAATCACTGGTTGGATCGTTTATTTTTAGTCTGTCAGGCTGTTTATGATATTTCTCCATTCCAACGCGGTTTGGTCCCTTTGTGTTCAGATGTCCAACCGAAAAATTTCAAAATCTGATGGGTCCTAATCCACTGACAGACTTCGGCCGTAAAATCGATATATTTGACCTTGAACATGTGACTGATATTTAAGCCTGCAAACGTTGTGTGAAACCTTTGAACCTGCCAACAAGTGCTGAGTTTTCGGACGAGGTCAGATCAGCCTGGGTAGCGACCACCACCGATGTGAAGGTCACCTACAAAAATGGTAATTCCGAGTGGTTACCCAAAAATTGCACGTAGGCGACAGAGTTGGGGTACACAGGTACAACCAATGCGAGAGATGCAGGTTCAGACACACGAAGCAGTCGCGTGCGCACAAGTTTAGCCATGAATGATGACCCAAGATCAAATGAGCAAAGTAAGCTAACGTAGCTTCACGTGCATGCAATAAGCACAAAAGTGGGGGATTTCACAGTGTCTGAACGAAGGCGGTTAAGGTCACTATGGTGTCATTTTGACTTGCCAGACCGCGTGCTCATACTGTCCTCAGACTACAGGTTATGTGGAAAATATCAATCAACGGCTGATCGAGGATGTATTCACCCACAGGTCTGTCCTGGAGTGATTTCCACACAATTAGCTGTCGAGTCTTGAACTACTGAACCACTGTCAGTCGTACAATCTGACGTCTAACTGCCGTACGGCGGTGGAGAACAACGCCTCAGGAGAGCGGAAAGAAGGTGGAGAACGGTGCGTTCTCAGGACTAACCAGCAACTTCCGTAAAGCAAAGTGGTAACAACGTTTGAGCATCAGATCATCATCATCATCATCCGAATCATCATCATCATCATCATCATCATCATCATCACCATCATCATCATCATCATCATCATCATCACCATCATCACCGTCGTCGTCATCATCATCATATGCTTCACTGCCGTACAACCATAAAGTTCGTTTAGTTATATATATATATATATATATATATATATATATATATATATATATATGTATTAAAAGCCCTACAGTGAAAACAAGAGATAAATTGTGGATGGGGCAGGTGACCTGTTGCAGGCCTATGTCAAGCTTTCTGAGTTGCCTATACCTCCGACCGCCTAATCAGGCAATCTCAAAATAAAGACTGATAGTACCAACGCCACTCTCATCGATTAGCCGCCGTTTCTTGCAGCGTCTTCAGCCAGGTGTGTGACGGAGACCCCATCCTGATAGGCGTGCAACACCAACAAGACCCAAACTCTTCGTGATCTCTCTGACGCCTTTCTGTCAAGTGATGTGCTGTACACATCGCGGTTTGAGTCATCCCGAAGGAGGGACGGAGATCAACACGTGCGTAGCTGTTTTACTTGCTGCGTGACCAGTTCCCTGCTTCCTAGGTACCTCGTTACAAATTCGTTGATGGCATCCGGCACCGGGGACACTCTTGGGGCGTCGCTGTTCAACAATTGAAAATATCTCACATCATCTGTTCACGAAAGCCATGTTTCGCAACCGTACAACAATACAGTACACTGCGACACTTGAAACCTGTTGATTTGCATTTTCCGATGCCGCAAATGATACAAACTAACAGGTGTGATCCGGGCCTTTGAGGATCGTGCACTGGCTACAACAGAAAAAACACTTCCATCAGAGCTAACACAATTACCGGGATATGGGGAAACCTACAAAACCTCCGGTGCCTTCTCTGAATTGCAAAGGACATGTTCAGAGAGCGGAAATTCTGAAGCACGACTTTGAAGGTGTAAGACGTGTGTCGAAAGGTGGTACGATTGTGGACAGTTCATTCAACAGAGTTTTATTGTGTCTTCGTCATCAAAGATGTGGACCATATCGTCCTCGTACTCCAGATCGACAAGAGTCCTACCTGCAACAATTTGAACGCCTTGGTTTCGAAGACCTAGCACTCGCCTGATTATTTCATCATTGTTGAAGTGGATATCCTTGTCTGACACCAATTTTTATGGGGAAGCTTTTGGAGAGCTCACCATACACTCTCACCCTTCCAGGAGTATGTGAATATAGGGATAGGATTTTGAGCATCATAACGGAATGCAGTTATTGGGTTGATCCGGCGCACTTTCCCCATCCGTCGAAGGAATGATAGCATGCTAATTTTGAGGGTTAGTCACGTGATGTGTAGTGAACGATCTTCAACCGGTAATTCATTTTAGCTATTAAGTATCCTTTAGTGAAAGGTTTGATTGGAACTACGTTCATTTAACCCTGACATAATATGGCTTCCATAAACTTTCACCCCACGGAGGTTTGGAATTCGAGGACAAATCTTTCCGTATCCTGAGTACTCAGTACAACTAACTCAACTCGATAAGTTTCTTTTTAAACTCAAGCACCTCTGTAAAGTTAACGCACCCTAGCTTGGAGAC